GGGGACAAGGCCAGAGACTGCAACCGCCCTTGCGACTTCGGATCAGAATCAGAACAGCAACAGCGGTCATCGGTGGATGCGGCTCAACCTTCAAGCGGTCGCTTGTTCGTCACCGACCGACCTTCAAGAACACAGTTCCTGGTCGACACCGGGAGCGACTTGTGTGTTTTTCCTCGGTCGGCGCTCCGTAACCCACGCAACTACAATTGTACAGACTATAAATTAAGTGCTGCGAACGGTTCGACGATATTTACATACTTAAGCTGTTGAATTTATAGTGCGTCTTTTATATTCCTTGCGTTGTAAATATTTTCCCTCTCCTTCTTCGATAGTTTCGTATGGGTCCGTGCTATGTAAATAAACGTTTGTAAATACTGTAAATAGTGCATTATTTCGGCGCGAAACGCCATACAAGGCGGCTCCGCTCGGGCCGCCTCCAAACAGTTATTAAATTGTACGCACTTTAGAAGACTCTTCAACAAACACCCTAAGTATAACGTGCAATTTTGATACGGCCGCTATTGACAACGTATTTTTTCAACGCCTTTGTCATCAACAAAGGCACACAGATTAGCGGAAGAAAAGGCTTTAGAAAACAGAACCTTGTGCAGTCATGCAATCACTTCAAAGCTTCTAGTCTAGATAGATACAAGATATGTTAAAATTATATCGGTATTACACAGCATCGCTGCGATTGACATCTTTGATCACGTACAAGTAAAAGAGGGATGTAACAGGTCGACACGATCCTACCTAAGGTTATTTTTCAAGCTTTTATTCTCTTCAAAAGGTAAAAATATTGACCATTTAAGACTAACTAAATCTTAATTTAAATTACTTGAAGGTAGATATTAACCCTCTCTATGATGTTTTGCTGTGCCCTTACTGGGCGTCATATGTATACCTACCTCTATTTTTTTTAAACATCACTAAATTGTAATGTGACATGCAATAAACGTTTTGTATTTGAATATCTGTTGACACGGGAAATACTGTATTGAAAAGCTTCATTTTTTAAGCAGTCATTTCAATGGTGGAAAATTGTATAGCAACAAGAAGCTTAAACGAAATCTAAGTCGCGCGTCGATTGGAATTGAAAAGCTAAATTAATGGTAATTACGTCGGAATTTACATTTCAATATAGAAGTGATAACAATAATATAGTGTAATTCTGTTTTGTTTTGGATGTTAGTAACTTCTCGTAGATGTTTTTTTTACGAACACAATAAGTATTTTGTTTTATCTTGATTCAGTAGCAATTCAGCAAAATATTTTTAATTGTTATCAGCCCACCTTTTGCACCTATTAGCTGGAGAAGATACGTTATTAAAGATGCCATATAATTTCCGTGTAATTCATCAAATAATACTTGCGTGTGACGTTTTTGTTGACGGCTTTAGTCGCGCATCCGATGATCCCAACCTTTCCCAGGCAATTTCAAAAGAACTAATTTTGTATAATAATTTGTAGTCAATTCACGTGACTGGCGCGAACAATTTATTAATCTTCGGTGGTAGCATAATTAATGCGACAGCAACATGAAACACACCCGCTGACGTTAAAGAGGAATCAAGTCTGGATTTTTCGCCGCTAATTAAAGGTTTCCTTTAATTGTAGACGAAATTTATACTCGTTGGATTGACTTCTCAAAAGTATTATTTTTTTTAGTTAAAATAGTTTTAACTACGTAGGTAATTTAAGAAATATACTGCATTTAAAAATTTACATCAATGTTTAGGTAGGTGTACCTGCATAATGATCTACACTCTACATAAAGTGCCGAACGAAAATTGTAAGTAATTTTTGTAAAGTCTTTGGATTAAGTTTGACTTGATTTTGCGCTTTTCGCTTCAGTCCTGTAACTTTAAAAGAGAACAAATACACAGTTCTTGCAATATTCGAAAAGTTCAGGAACTTGATTTTGTGTGAAACAAAAAAAATGCGATAGCAGACTTTTCCAATTAGGCGCATTAGGGCTAATTATCATTATGGCAACCGACTCGCTAATGGACTACTTCTTATTTGGGATACTTCTCACTTGGGCTACTTCTCACTTGGACTACTTCTCACTGGGGCTACTTGTACCTACTGTCTTTACTCGTATGTGCATATATGAACATGACAATATTGATGTGTTTGTTAAGTCGTTTTTTTGTTGAAGATGGCTATTTTTTATTTTGCAGTCAAAATGATTTGCTTCTTTTCGAAGTTTGTGTAAAAATTAAAATTAATTTGGACATTTCGGAATTTTTACATTTAATCGATGGTGTCATCCCTCAAGAGCGTTGGTAGTGCGGTGGCGTTTTCCAGAGCAACTAAAAAGCGCAGGGTTCATTCTTAGATACCACTGTTATGAAAAGTATTTTAAAAACGTTTCAAACAATGGTAATAACGAGTCATTTTCAATAATCTCTGTTAGTTTTTGGCAACCCTCTGGAATAATGAGAATTAGCCCTAATGCTCCTAAACTGACTTTTCGTGACACGTTTGCGTCATGTATATTTAATACGACTATACTTAGGCTGAGTTGCACCACCTAAATTTAAGCCTAGACGCAGACCATCTACTCGTATTTTTCGTCGGCCGATTATACTACATCGAATGTTGACAAATAGATGACATAACTTTGTTTAATGTCATAAAGATATACCTAGACACCTTCCAGCCTCTCTACATTTCAAAACTCTCCATAAAATACACGAGCTTGGTTTCCAATTTGCGAAACGGGAGAGCAGATCATTATTACTAGAAAATATACAACGTGTCCCAAAATTCAAGGATAAGCCGGCGCCGCAGGATGGACATAGTCATGACTAATTCAGGAAAAATAAGAAAAAACATCTATCTCGATAATTTTTTCAGTTACACAATAAATTATGAAATTCGTCGAAAATTGACACCCCTTATGATATTTTACATTACCACGACTACAATTTTTCAAATACTTCTGTTTTTTTGTTTGTATTGGCAACTTAAGTAGTGCTGCTGTCCACTCCAATTCTTAAAACCCCCAGAATCCTTGCAGTTTTTACACAAAAGTTAATCAAAATATGATATTTCCTTAAAATTTTAAACGATTTTTACTTTCACTCCACTTTGACTCGTCGTTTTGTAAAAAAACAGTATGAACACTACTGCGGCAAGTTTATTATAAAGTTGACGCAACTATCCAAGATTCCAAAATGGTATAATACTCTAAGAAAACTAGTCGCAAAAAAGATATGCGTACCATTTTTACAAGCACTTCGCTTGTTAGTAGTATGGGATAAATCTTGCAACTAAATTTAAAACCAGTTCTCCTCAACCAATTGAGCTGAAATTTGGTATACTTATGTAAGTACGATGACAATGCAATATTATGGTATCATTGAGCTGGATGGAGTCTGGAGGTGGCCATAGGAACTTCTAAATGAAACGGCGGAATTGCATCTAGTTTAGGTTCGTTAGATTTGTCTTTTCAAGCACTTTGGTGCTAGATGATGTCCAGGATCCTGATGATGAAGTCAAGAGGTGGCCAGGAGCTGGCCATAGGAACTCCTAAACGAAATAGTGGAAGCTTATCGAGTTTGGGTTCGTTGGGTTTGTCTTCTCGGGCACTTGGGCCATGAGATTGAGAAACAACTAAAAAGTTTAAAATAAAGTTATAATCGCGCATGGAATTTATTCCTCTTTTTTTCTGTTTGCGCTACAAACTTTCGAAATTATTTGAACCTTGCATACAATTATTTTTATCGTTAAATTCTTTCGTAAAATTTCGCATTAATGCTTGTTTTTAAAAAAGTTTTTTTTTTTTTATAACTTTATTTTACACTTTTTAGTTGTTTCTCAATCTCATGGTCCAAGTGCTCGGGAAGTCAAATCCAACGAACCCAAACTCGATAATCTTCCGCCATTTCGATTAGGAGTTCCTTTGGCCAGCTCCTGGCCACCTCTTGACTTCATCATCAGGACCCTGGACATCATCTAGCACTAAAGTGCTCGAAAAGATATCCAACGAACCCAAATTAGATGCGATTCCGCCGTTTCGTTTAGAAGTTCCTATGGCCACCTCCAGACTCCATCCAGCTCAATGATACCATAATATTGCAATGTCATCGTACTTACATAAGTATACCAAATTTCAGCTCAATTGGTTGAGGAGAACTGGTTTTAAATTTAATTGCAAGATTTATCCCATACTAACTAACAAGCGAAATGCTTGTAAAAATGGTACGCATATCTTTATTGCGACTAGTTTTCTTAGAGTATTATACCATTTTGGAATCTTGGATAGTTGCGGCAACTTTATAAAAAACTTGCCGCAGTAGTGTTCATACTGTTTTATTACAAAACGACGAGTCAAAGTGGAGTGAAAGTAAAAATCGTTCAAAATTTTAAGGAAATATCATATTTTGATTAACTTTTGTGTAAAAACTGCAAGGATTCTGAGGGTTTTAAGAATTGGAGAGGACAGCAGCACTACTTAAGTTGCCGATACAAACGAAAAAATAGAAGTATTTGAAAAATTGTGGTCGTGGTAATGTAAAATATCATAAGGAGTGTCAATTTTCGACGAATTCCATAATTTATTATGTAACTTAAAAAATTATTGAGATAGATTTCTTTTCTTATTTTTCCTAAAGTAGTCATGACTATGTCCATCCTGCGGCGCCGGCTTATCCTTGAATTTTGGGACACGTTGTATATGCATTTCTAGATTGGCGTCGGCCTGCATTAAACGCCTTACTACAAATATTATAAGGTTTTCTGTCCACCTTGTTGGTGGATACCCCATGCAACAAAGTGGACAGGTGGACCCAAATGAAAAATCCCTGTGATGGACCCATTGATATACTAAATAACCGATCGTTGCGGAAATCCTTAGGCGGGCCTTTGTCATCGAAAAATGATGTCCACTGCTGGAAGGCCTCCCTAAAGGATTTCGACAACGACAGGTCCCGCGCTGCCCGCATTCAGGTACTTCTCGGATGGTTGGTAATTGGTAAAAATTTGTCTGACAGAAGGCCGCGTGATCAGCTCGCTGTGGATGGAGCTGGAGTCGGAGGCGCCGCCGCCGGAGCGCTGACGGCGGCGTAGCGAGCAGTACTACCGGCCGGTGTCGCGCGCACGCAACGAGCGCCGCAAGATGTCAGCCGCCGGGGTACCGCCCGCAGACGACGCCGAAATCAAGGACTCGGTCCTCTAAACTCTCTGTTGTAACGCTGAAATTGTAAACAAACATCAGAATTATGGCGGGGCTATCCATTTTTCTGCGAACGGGGACATTTCTAAGCTTCAAGACTGCACTCTAGTGCTCATCTTCTTCGTTTTCAGCGCAGACTAAGACCCATGAGCGGAAGGACCTACGGACCGGAATGTATGGATAGCCTTCTATATCATATATGCGATTTCTTTGACACTCATTTAATAGAAGATCGTTGAGGGGCCAAAAAGTAGGAGATTTTTGTATTGATAGGGTCGTTAAGTAAAACAGCGGTAGGTCGTCTTTGGAGTTTTGGAGTCAAATACTCACATCAAGTGACTGACAGTAATCAATTACTAATAAAAATATCAAAACGGGTGATTTGTATTGGCCGATATGTAGACAGATAAATGAAACCCATCAAAAACAATACTTGTCAAAAAAACTAAGTTTCGTAACTCAGTTGTTCTACCGTAAAAAGTTGTGAGATCCATGTAATACCAAGTCCAGGCCAGGAAATCTTTAACGTTTTACATAAATTATTGACTTGGCCATCGCACTAAATAATTTAATTTACTCGTGTTTTCATGCGATGGCCAAGTCAATATATTTATGTAAAACGNTACCACCAGAAGTAAGATTGAATTGTGTTCCGTATAAAAATAAGCATTTAGTAACCCGTTTGTAAGTTCACCTTAACCCTTAAATGCATGATTTTTTATTTAGTTATGAAAAAAATATTTCAATTAGATTTTTAGTCACAGATAGGGGGAAAAAAAATAAAAAAAATCTTCGTACGAAAAAAAAGTATATTTTTGAAAATTTACAGTATGTAGCCAAATGTCTACACCATGCGTTTATGCCATAAAATTGTTCAATATTAATTGTTCTATGATTTGCTTATTTGGCTTTTCTTTTCAGCATGTTTGGCTCGCTATCTGAAAAGGAAATTAAGACAGCTCTTGCTGCTTTAAATGATGGTGCAGTCTCAGATGATGATGAAAATTTAGATGATGATAACATCGATTATTACCCAAACGTACGGGTTTTATTGCATGAGTCCATAGATCATAATCTACCCTTGGAACATAACAAAGACCCTCCCATAGTCTATGAAGAGGAGCACATATTAGATGGTGTTTCCTTAGCGGAACCTGTGGCGGGTACCTACTTCATCTGCGCAATCAAGTTCAGGTATTCCAGGAATTGCAGCTTGGAGGTCACGTAGCCGGGAGATGATTTGGAAAAAAAGAAATTTACCACCATGGGACGATGATCGCATTGCTTTTTTAGGGGATTCGGAACTGCCCACAGAAATATCTGACCTGGAGGAGCCATTTCAGTTCTTTATCAAGTTCATAAACGATGACATTGTTTCGAAAATTGTAGACGAAACGAATTTATACATTACTCAAAAAGGGTTTAGTTCAAATAATCGTGTCAGTTCTATTGAGAGTCAGTGAGTGACAAAATTAAGTAACTTTGACCCGTTATAATTCTTAAACTACTGGTTCAAATTGAATGAAATTTTAAATATACCGTGTCTTTACAATGCCTGCATAGCTAATGAAAATTCAGCCTTCTAGTTTTATCCACAACGAAGTTACAGGCGGTCGAAAATGGCCTGAATTGCTTCGAGAAAAGGATGGTACGGCCGTGCCGCTTTTTTGCTCGACTTGGTGGGGGCACTGCCGTGCCCCCAGATGTAAGAAAATCTGTGGCTTTTGGGATTTACAGCAGCAACTTGTTTACAATTTCGGCCTATTCAAAAATAATCAATAGTCAATATAATAGATGGTTGTATGCTACTGGCCCGCACTTGCATTAGCTTATTACTCGTAGACTATGCTATCAATATCAATGTTATAACTGAGTGGTTTTCAATCCAATGTATTTTTAATTTTAATATTTCGCTTTCCTATTACATTACCTCTGTTGTAGGTACTCAAACACATATTAAAGTACAGAATCAGATAATACAGTATGTAAAATAATGTTACTTCGATAAAACTCTAGTGTGGTAGAGGGTAATTTACCCATGAATGAACAAAAATAAACTTACAGACAGACGCCTCAATTTCAAGCAGTACCTCCAAAAATATTTTATGCTTGGATACTCACATTACCTACCTACTTTGATCTCGTATGAAAAAGTTTGAGAATTTGAGTTTGTAAAATTTTTCAATACAGGGTGTTTCAAAATACCCCCTAAAGCCTGAAAGGGCACAGAAACTGAAACAATCTGAAATAGAAGCCGTTGTTCCTATTGTCATATCTTGAACGGTTTTGGAAATAACGTACATCGAAAGTTTCCAAAAATATCGATATGAATTCCCTCACTTTCGATCAGCTGCAGCGGGGTTCATCGAACGCAAATCATAGACTTTGTATTTTTCAGAATGTCAATTAGCCGCATTTTTTGCCTACTTCCTTTATCGATGTGTTCAAAGCATGTTTGTTCGTTAAATAAACATTTTAAATAGTTTCCGCCCATCTTTAGCTTACTCCTAGTACCTTTCCTGGTACCACCAGGAGTAAGATTGAATTGTGTTCCGTATAAAAATAAGCATTTAGTAACCCGTTTGTAAGTTCACCATAAGCACCAATAAGGCCTCATAATTACGGAGCCGCAGCGCATGATAAACACAAAAAATATTGATGCGAGTCGGGTGAAGTGGTGTGCCAACCTCTCTTCCCACGGTGAATCCTTCAGCGAGTATTGCCACGCATGCCGCAACAATAAACGCCGTGTGAGACGCATCGAAGCCATCCGCAGGATTCGGCTGCAAATAACGTTCCATTTGAAAGAAAGAAAGAAAGAAAAACATTTATTTGGTTCCAACTTAAAATATAGCACACAAAATCAGATAACAAAAAAACAATTAACAGATACAAGTTAGAACCAAATCTGGCCACCGCTCAGCATGTGTCATGCTCTGGAGTGGTAGATAAAACCCAGAACACGACGCTGTTATTCTGCGGTGACCATTTTTGGAGAGAGCTGGGCAAACATGAGACAATACACAAAAACAAACAAAAGAGAAAAAACAAACAAAAGAGAAAAAACAAAATAAAAAAATACAATATTAAAAGAAAGAAAAAAAAAGTAAATGATTTCAAGAATACGCGTCTTAAATCGCTTTTCCGTAAAAGCACTCATGCACACACAATGCCAATGTTTGAACTCAGTTGGTCGCACAGCGTAAGATGCCCGGCGTCTCCGTAAATGAGGCCTTAGTTTTATTTCATTTTTTTATTTTAACAATTTGTTGAGTCATTGGATACCTACAGAGGCGTTCACATCATATTTTACAAAATCCTTGCAAAATGGGTCTTATTTAAGCAGCAAAAGGAAAGGTTGATGTGAACGCATCTGTACCATTATTATTATTTTGTAATAATTTGCCAATAATAACAACATTAAGAGCGGCATTTAAAAAAATGCTGAGAATTTAAAACAATTCTAAAATAATAATAATAACAACAACAAGTTACTAATCCTTAGTCGCTCCTAAAGCTTGGCGGTGCCTTTCGGTTTCACCCTGCGTAAGTATAATGTATACTAGCTTTCCGCCCGCGGCTTCGCCCGCGTGGAATTTTGTCTATCACAGAAAAACTTTATCGCGCGCGTCCCTGTTTCAAAAACCGGGATAAAAACTATCCTATGTTCTTTCCCGGGACTCAAACTATGTCTATGCCAAATTTCATCAAAATCGGTTGCGAGGTTTAAGCGGGAAAGCGTAACAGACAGACAGACAGACAGACAGACAGACAGACAGACGGACAGACAGACAGACAGACAGACAGAGTTGCTTTCGCATTTATAATATTAGTTGGGATGGGATAAAAAGAAAGAAATGTATAAATGAATAAAAAAATAACAATAGATATTATAATGTACGAACATTATTGCATGTCATGGAACTCTTTTTTAGCTTAAGTGCCACCATTGTAAGAAAAATATTCTATAAAAATGTAATATAGCTGTTGAGTTTCTGAATAAACTAAATAAATAAATAAATAAAACTAAATNCATTTTTTGCCTACTTCCTTTATCGATGTGTTCAAAGCATGTTTGTTCGTTAAATAAACATTTTAAATAGTACCTATTTAAAAGGCTGACACTTTACATGTGTACGTACATTTGAAAAATTTTGTGAAAACTTCATCTATCGAAACCNTTTTATTTACTCGTAAACCTTTCTTTAATAAATTTCAAAATCGTCTCGTACTTTTAAACTTAAAATCTTAAAAATCAATGAAAAATTAAAATAATACCCAAAGAAAATGTTGGCAACCTCATTAGTGAGTGGGCTAGGGAACACCACCCCCCGCCCTGGAGCCCACCACCCCCCGCCCTGGAGCCCACCACCCCCCGCCCTGGCGCCCACTCTAAGGCCTCAGCCTCGAACTTAGCGGGCAGCGGGGCGGCGGCGGCGGCGGCGCGGGAGCGGGGCGGGCAACGCAGACCCGTTCTCGAAACCAGCGGGCAGCTCGCGCGGCGCTTTAGCAGCGAAGTGTTGTGTTCGGGGTTTGTATTGTCGAGATATTTGTTTTTATTTGCAAACGAAATGTCTGAACAACGGCGACAATTTTATTTCGATTCAAATTTATTCCTAACGCTCGATTTATTGTGGGCAAAAGAAGGAGTGCGCTGCCCGCTCGTTACCCGCTCCCTCGCCGCTGCCCGCTCGTTGCCCGCTCCGGCGCCGCTGCCGCGCCGCTGTTTTCGAGAACCGGTTTATTTGATTTCACGCATAAAGATCCTGCCGCTGCCGCGCCGCCGCCGCTCCCGCCCCGCTGCCCGCTAAGTTCGAGGCTGAGGCCTAACGGCTAACTCGTGCGCAGCGCTGCGCGCCTGGTACACAATGGGCCGACATATGCATTGCGTACTAATT